TGGGCCAAAGTGATACCCAGAAGAATACCTAAACTCTAAAATGCATTTACTAGAATACTAGGAAGAATGAAACAAACTAAGCTTTAATTCAGTCACATTCTACTAAAGTCCTATTAAATACTCCCAGAGAAATTGGAAAGGAGGGTTTAGTATGATAAATAAATATTAATAAAATAAGTAAGAAAAACTCTAGTAGAAATAATAAAATCATGAGCTGGTTCTCTCTAAGAGTGAAATCATTTTTAAGAAAGATGAAAATAGAGAAGATAAAGAAGACAACAGAAAGAAAAAGGGACATTATTATAGAGAGAAAAAAATTAACTCAATAATTCGATGGTTATTTTGAGTAATCAGTTTGTAATCCTTAATGAAATAGACAGTTATCTAGGAAAACATAGGTGAAGAAATTGCCACTCAAAGAAAAGCTGGATGAGCCAAAAATACATAAAAGAAATCAAATTGGCAACATATGCAAAAACAAATCCTAGAAGGATTAATGATTCAAATATCAAAAACATAATTTTAAAACTATTAGTAAGAAATATCAGCAAATATTTTTTAGATCTGTAGTAATAGGAAGATTTCTTAAACAGAACACAAAAAGTATAAAAGATTGATAAATTTGACTATATTAAAATAAGGACTTTGTTCATCAATGACAATAAAGAGAATGAAAAGACAAGTTACAAACTGGGACAGATAAACATAGAACACTTGACTTAATTATAGGAGTAATTGATACATGACTTTTTAGTTTTGCCAAATATAAAATTATATTATCTTGATTTATATTTCCCTGATCACTAATATGTTGAAATTCTTTTCATATGATTCATATATTTCATACTATTCTAATTATTGGCTATATGAGTTTCTCATAAAATATCTGTTCATATCTCTTGCCATGTATATATTGCGTTTGTTATGCTCTTTACTAATTAATTCAGAGTTTTCCTGCTACCAGTCTCTGGCAAGCTTGTGTTCTATGTAGAAAAGATGAAGAGATTTTGCAAATGTAATTAAATCAGATGACTCTTAATCAGATGACTCTTTGTTGATCAAAATGAATATATCCTGGATGAGCCTGACTTAAGCAAGCAATCCTTATAAAAGAGGATTCAGACCTTTTGTGAAGAGAGATTTGAAGCCAAAGAGAAACTTCTGCTTGTCTTGAAGAAACAAACTGCCATGTTGTGGGGAGGGCCATGTGACAGGAAACACTGGGTGGCAGCAGGACTAAGGATACTATAACTACAGAGAACTAAATTCTGTCAATGAACAGTTAGATTGGAAAAAGACCTTGATCCACAGATGTGATCACAGCCCTGGTCAACATTTTCATTGCAGTTTTATGGGATCTTGGGCATAAAACACAGCTTGCCATGCACAGACATCAGACCTATAGACACTGTGAGGTAGTAAATGATGGTTATTTCAAGTAAATAATACATTAGACCAGAAGGATTTCACTGATATTCTTAGAACATTTCACCTCAAAGCAGTAGAATGTACATTCTTTTCAAGCACACACAAAATATTTCCCAAGATAAACCAGAATACAGAAGTGCAACAGCTGTGTTCTAGCAATTGCCACTGCCACGTAGAAAACAAAGTCACTGAGCCTGGCGACCTACTCCCACCCTCACAGAGCTACCAGTAGGCCCCAGAAGAAGCAAGCAGTGAGTGTGGCAGCAGAGTATCGACAGCCCCAAGAACTGAAATATAACACCTGAGAAGGAGACGTACACTGCAGCTAATCGCAGTGACAGGTGGAGATACAGAGGCAAGGGAGCTGAAGTCTGGCAGGTGCCATTACTGGGAGGAGAACAAAGCCACAAACACACCAGTGACCTCTCCTAACCTGCCTAACCCACCTTGCCCCCACCTACTGAGGCGGATCCTAGAAGGGGCACCTTGGACACTTCAGGCAGTGCAACATTGCATTAGACTGCTGGGTCAGCATAGGGACTTCAGGAAGCTTGGAACAAATTTGCCCACCATTCTTCTATGTGGGTGGAGCCATGAGATTGAGGTGACATGGTCACAGAAGAATGAATATCCACACACACACAAAAAATAAAGGGCTTTTTTGCCCAGCAGAGATCCTGGAGGCCTGGGTAATGCAGGAGGCTTGTGATCCCTTTAAGCACCACTTACTGAAAACAAAATAAACCCTTCTCTTATTAACCTGCTAAAGAGGCACTACACTTAATAATAATTTCTTTTAAAAAAAAAAAAAAAAAGCAGAGTTCATTCCTATAAATGCCTAGGCAGAGAAATAATCTATCAAACACCATGAAAACCCAAGGTGACATGGCAGTTCAGAAAGAAAATTTAAAATTTCCAGAAAATAAACTTAAAGATATAGAAATATGCAATTCAAATGACAGAGAATTTAAGATTACACTTCTGAAAAACCTCAACGAGATGAAAGAAAGTTCTGATCAACAGTTCAGTGAACTCAAAAACAAAATCAATGAACAACAGGAATACTTTACCAAAAGATTGAAACTTTCAAAAAGAACCAAATATAAATTCTGGAGCTGAAGAACTCAATAAAATAGATGAGGAATGAAAAAGCAAGTTTAGGAAATAGAGTTGCCCAGATAGAGGAAAGAATTAGTGATATCCAAGACAGAAATCTGGAAATGACACAAGTGGAAGAAGAGAAAGACATGAGAGTGAAAAAAAAAGTACTCTAAAAGAACTACCTGACACCATCAGAAAAAGCAATATGAAAATAATGGGTATATCAGGAGAAGAGAGGGAACAGGGAGCAGAGAGTCTATTCAAACAAATAATTGATGAGAACTTTCTAAACCTATGAAAAGAACTGGATCCTTGAATCCAAGAAGCAAACTGAACACCTAATTATCTCAATTCCAAAAGGCCTCACCAAGGCACATTATATGAAAACCATCAATAATTAATGCAAAGGAAGAATTCTCAAGGCAGCCAGGAAAAAGAAGAAGGTAATCTATAAAGGAAAAGCCATTAGATTATTATTGGATTTTTTAGCAGAAACTCTACAAGCTAGAAGAGAGTGAAATCAAATATTCAAACTATTGAAAGAGGGAAATTACCAGCTAAAAATAATGCATCCAGCAAAATTTTCTTTTAGATATGAATAAGAAATAAAGACCTCAGACATACAGAAGCTGAGGAAATTTTCCATTACAAGGCCTGCAGTACAGGAAATACTAATAGGGGTTATTTTACCTGAAACAAAAAGACAAAAAGATACAAGACTCTGAGTAAGATGACTAACAGACAGACAGAAACAGGAAATTGCAACCCTTATTCAGAATAGTATATTATAAACTTAAATATTACATAATGGTTAAATGAGGTTAAAAAAAGAAACATTTTAAAAAGAAATGAAAACAATAGCTGGTGCCACTTAGAAATGAACTCGCAGCTTAAATAGGAATAATTCGAGACAACAAAAACAGAAAAAGGAGCGAGTAAAGGTTTGAATTTGCAAAGAGGAATGGATATAAGAATCACACAGAAGAAAAAGGACTATTGTGTGTACAAAACTTTCTTTTACATAAACATAGTGGTAACCACACACAAAAAAATCCAGAACTGAGACACACAACATTAAAAAAAAAAGTGGGGAATAGGAAGAAAAATTGTAAAATACCACCAAACTAAAATAACAACAAGGGCAAGGAAACAATGGAGACACTGAGCTTCCAGAAAACAAAAAATGAAATGGCTATAGGAAAACCTCATATATCAATAATCACCTTAAATGTAAATGGAGTGAACTCACCAATAAAAAGCCACAGAGCAGAAGATTGGTTCAAACAACAAGACTCAACTACATGCTGCCTTCAGACACACATCTCAGCTGCAAGGACAAATATAGACTCGAAGTGAAAGAGTGGAAAGTGGATTTAGCCATATCTATATCTGGTGAAAGAGACTTCAAGATAAAAAAGGTAATGAGAGACAAACAAAGACACTTCATACTGATAAGAAAGAAGACACAACACTTATCAGTATACATGCTCCCAATCAGGGAGCACCAAAATATATAAAGCAACTACTGACAAAACTGAAAGGAGAAACTGATGAGAAAACAATTATAATAGGGGACCTAAAAACCCCATTGACAACTACAGATAGGTCACCCAAACAGAAAACCAACAATGAAATATTAGTCTTAAATAACACATTAGACCAATTGCACATAATCATATCAATCTTAAATAACACATTAGACCAATTGCACATGTAGAGAGTCTTCCATGCCAAAACACCAGATTAAGATTGAAATCATACCAAGCATATTCTCTGACCATAATGCTTTGAAACTGGAGATGAATTGTAAAAAGCGGGAAGAACTACAAATACATGGAGATTAAACAATATGCTACTAAAGAATGACTGGGTCACAAGGATGGACTAGAGGTTATTATGCTGAGTGAAATAAGTCAGACAGAGAAAGAGAAATACCATATGATTTCACTTATATGCAGAATCTGAGGAACAAAAAGAACAAACTAATCAAAAACAGACTCACAAGTATAGAGGACAATTTGGTGACTGACAGAAGGGAGGGGATTTGGGGGACTGGGAGAATGGGGTGAAGGGTTAAAGAAGTACAAGTTAGTAGTTGATAGATGGTCATGGGGGTGGGGAGCATGATATAGGGAATGCAGTTAACATTAATATATTGGCTAGGTGGAAAACCAGAGGAGAGAAGGAGCAATTATAGGGATCGTTTTATAAATTATATAAATGTCTAACCAATGTACTGTATACTTGATAGTAATTAAAATAAATAAATAAATTTTAAAAACCAGAAGGGAACAAAAAAGAATGACTGGGTCAAAGAAGAACTAAATGGAGAGATCAAGAAATACATAGAAACAGAAAACGATTGTGTCAGGGCTACAGTGGGAGGAGAAGCACAGGGCCCTGAGGCAGCGCAGCCTGGGCCTATGTGACTGGACACGGCCCACGCAGCCTCCATCTGGAGAGGATTCAAGATGACCAGTGAGGAACCTCTTGCCAAAAAGTTTCAACTGAGCAACACAGACTTCAAAGTTATGGCACGAGATGAGTTAATTCTACGATGCAAACAATATGAAGCATTTATGCAAGCTTTGGAGGGCAAGTATACAGATCTCAACTATAGTGATGTAACTGGCTTAAGAGAGTCAGAGGAAAATTAAAGCAATAACAGCAAGAGTCTGTACGGAGAGGAAACATTTTTGTAATGCAACTAGCAACCAAGGAGCAAGAGATGCAAAAGTGTACTACTCAAATCCAGTACCTCAAGCAAGTCCAGCAACCTAGTGTTGCCCAATTGAGATCAACAATGGTAGACCCAGCAATCAATTTGTTTTTCCTAAAAATGAAAGGTGAACTGGAACAGACTATAGATGAACTGGAACAAGCCCAAAGTGAACTGAGTGCCTGGAAGTTTACACCTGATAGGCAAACAAATCATATTCCCCAGTCAAGAATTCCCTGAGAGTCCCACTGCAAGAGAGCTGTGGTGGGACCCCCAAATACTTGTTTCCACATCAAGACTCAGACTTTTTGAGCCAAAAAAGCCACATTCTTATACTATCCAGCTTGTAATGGTTAATGTAAAACTTACCAGATGAACCTTATGGTTCAGTTTATTTCTCTTCTCCCTCCCCTTGCTTCAGAGGCATGATGGCATTGGACTATTCTGAAGCATTGGACTATTCAGAGGCATTGGACTATTCTGAAGAAGTGGCCACCTCTAAAAAATTCCCCTTCTAGAACATGTAGACACTTGAGAAATGTTTCTGTTTGAAGAAAATGGAGAGAGAAACAGAAGTCTTAAGTCTGTGGCACACTGTGTCTTCAGACAGTTTGGAGGAATGAAAACTTAGAGATTTAAAATCATGAATTGAACATGTAAATTCCAGTAAAATGTAAAAAAGAAATATACATTGCTCTTAATCTTGAACATAGTGACTTAAAGACACTGTATATCAATTTTGCCAATAAGAATGTGGATTTTGTGATTGTTGTTGAACTTTTGGGTCAAAACTAAAATAAGGTGAATTTTGCCTTTTTAAAAGATTTATTTGCTAAGAAACAACTTAATAGTTATGAGAGAATCAACTAATAGATGTCAGTACAAGTAGTTCATATATTTTACCATTGAGGACTGTATAAACATGAAAGTGTGGTATTGAACTTCAGATTTAAACTGTTTGAAGCATCGTAAACATTCATTTCACAGTTAGATTGTATAAGGATATTGGCTGTGATGAGACTCAATAAGTTAATTTTTTTAGTAGTGAAATTCATTAAATCCGTATTCCATTCAACAGGCACATGTTGAAAGAGCATTGTCATTGGTGTTAATGGGGGAATGTGTTCCTTCATTGTATTTGGGCCTTTTGTATCACACTCTTGATGTTAAATTAAATGTGCCTTGCTTTTTTTAAAAGAAGAAATACATAGAAACAAATGAGAATGAAAATACAACATATCAAACCTTTTGGGATACAGCAAAAACAGTAATAAGAAGAAAGTTCATATCATTACTGGAAAGATCCCAAATAAATAACATAACGTCACATCTTAAAGAACTAGAAAAAGAAGGACAAATGAAGCCCAAAGTCAGCAGAAAGAGGAAATAATAAAAATTAGAGCATTAAATGAAATTGAGAACAAAAAGACAATAGAAAAAATTAATGCAACTAGCAGTGAAGAGCTGGTTCTTTGAAACAATCAACAAAATTGACAATCCCCTGGCTTGACTCACTGAGGGAAAAAAAGACAGAAATAAACAAATCAGAAATGAAATAGGAAGAAGTTATGACAGGTACCAGAAAAATACAAAAATCATACAAAAATACTATGAAAGATTATATGCCACCAAATTTAATAACCTAGAAGAAATAGACAAGTTCATAGAAGTATATAACCTTCCTAGAATGAATCATGAAGTAATGGAACATCTAAACTGACTGATCAACAAAAAGGAAATTGAAACAATTATCAAAAACCTCCCAATAAGAAAAAGACTAGGACCAGATGACTTCACTAGTGAATTCTACCAAACATTCAAAGATGATTTAATACCTGTTCTTCTCAAACTCTTCCAAAAAATTGAAGAAGCAATACTTCCTAACTTACTTTATGAGTCCAACATTACCCTGATACCAAAACTTTGTAAGGATAACATACAAAAAGAAAACTATAGACCAATATCTCTGAAGCAAGAATCCTAAACAAAATACTAGCAAATTGACTACAACAATACATTAAAGTGATTAGACATCATGATCAAGTGGGGTTCATGCGAGGGGCATAGAGATTGTTCAACATATGCAAACTGATCAATGTGATACACCACATGAACAAAATAAAGGATAAAAATTATATGATCATATCAATAGAAATAGAAAAACATTTGACAAGATACAGAATCCATTTATGATTAGAACACTTAATAAAATGAGTAAAGAAGGAAAGTATCTTAACATAATAAGGGCCATATACAACAAACACTCCGCTAATATACTTAAAAACTAAAAGCCTTCCTTCTAAGATCAGGAACAAGACAAGGTTGTCTGCTCTCAACACTCTTATTCAATATAGTGTTGGAAATCCTAACTAGAGCAATCAGGCAAGAGAAAGAAATATAAGGCATCCATTGGGAATGAAGAAGTCAAATTGCTACTTCTTGCAGATGGTATGATTCTCTATATAGAAAACTATAAAGACTCCACCGAAAAATAGTTAGAAACAATAAACAAATGCAGTAAAGTTGCAGGACACTAAGTCAGTGTACAAAAACCTATTGCATTCCTATATACTAACAATGAAATTCCAGAAAAAGAACTGAAAAAATTTCTTTTGCAATTGCAACAAAAATAAAATACATAGTAATAACCTTATTAAGGCATGTGAAAGACATATACACTGAAAACTATAAGACGTTATTAAAAGAAATTGAAAAAGACACAAAGAAATGGAAAGATATTCCATGTTCATAGATTGGAAGAATCAACATAGTTAAAATCTCCAAAGCATTCAAAGCAATATACAGATTTAATGCTATCTTCAACCAAATCCCAATGGCATTTTTTTTTTTTAAAGAAACAGAACCAAAAAAATCATCAGATTTGCTTGGAATCACAAAAGGCCCTAAATAGCCAAAGCAATTCTGAGAAAAAAGAACATGGCCAGAGGTATCAAACTGACTTCAAATTATACTACAAAGTGACAATAATCAAAACAGGAGGTTATTGGCAGAAAAAGAGATACACAGAACAATGGAATAGAACTGAGATCCCTATATAAACTCATATATAACCCATATTTATATGAGCAAATAATTTTTGACAAAAAAGCCAAAAATATACAATAGAGAAATGAAAGCATCTTCGATAAATGGTGCTGGGAAAATTGGAAAACCACCTGCAAAAGAATGAAACCAGCCTGCTATCAATCACCATATACTAAAATTAATTCAAAATGGACCAATGACCTAAATATAAGATATGAAACAATAAATTGCATAGAAGAAAACATAGGTACTGAACTCATAGACCTTGGATTTAGAGAAGATTTTATGATTTTGACCTTAAAAGCAAGGAAAGTAAAAGCAAAAATAAATGACTGGGACTATATCAAACTAAAAAGCTTCTGCACAGCAATAGAAACCATCAATGAAAACCAAGAAGTAACCAACTGAATGGGAGAAGTTATTTATAAACAATGCCCCCAATAAGGGACTAATATCCAAAATATATAAAGAACTCATATAACTCAACAACAACAAAAAATAAACAGTTCAATTAAAAAATGGCCAGAGGACCTAAGCAGACACTTTTCCCAAGAAGACATATAAATGAACAACAAACATGAAAAGATTCAAAACTTTACTCGCTATTAGGGAAATACAAGTCAAAACCACAATGGGATACCATCTCACACCTGTTAGAATGGCTATCATCAACAGGACAAGTAGTAACAAGTGTTGGAGAGGTTGTGGAGAAAAAAGACTCCTTATATCCTGTTGTTGGGAGTGTAAACTGGTATGGAGGTTCCTCAAAAAATTAAGAATAGAATTACCATATGACCCAACAATCCCTCTTCTGGGTATCTACCCCCCAAAATTTAAAACAATTATCTTTAAAGATATATGCACCCCAATGTTTGTAACAGCATTATTCACAGAGGCCGAGACATGGAAACAAACGAAGTGTCCTTCTATAGATGATTAGAAAAAGATGATCTGGTACATATATATAATGGAATGTTACTTAGCAGTTAAGAAAAGAAATATTGCCATTTGGGAGAACACGGATGGATCTTGAGAATATCATGTTAAGTGAAATGTCAGACAAAAGGGATTGAGAACTATATGATTTCACTCATACATGGGATGTAAAACTGAAAGCAACAAACAAGACAGGCAAACAAAAACTCATAGACACAGACAATGGTTTAGTGGTTACCAGAGAGAAAAAGGGGAGGAGGTAGGTAGGTGAATAAGGGTAAAAGGGGTCAAATACATGGTGATGGAAGGACCTTTGATTTTGGATGGTGAATATAAAATGCAATATACAGATGATGTACCATACACTTGAATCATACACTTGAAACCTATGTATTTTTATTAACTAATGTCACCACAATAAATTTAATAAAAGTAAATAAATAAGAATTTTTTAAAAAATATTGGATATACAGACTCTAGATATCGTAGATATATCATTAATTAGAAGTAGATTAGGTCTTAGACAATCTGGATAGATTATCTTATTTGGTGGTAATATGCTAATACGGCGGTAGGTTTGATTTTTTAATTCCTATTTAGGATTCGTACATCTGTATAAGTAACCATGAATCCTTTGTATTGGTCTTCAATGTTAATTTATGTACTCTGTATTAGTTTGCTAAGGTTGCTATAACAAAATATCACAGACTGGTTGTTTTAAACAACAGAAATTAATTTCTTCATAGTTCTGCAGGCCAAAAGTCAAAGATCAAGGTGCCAGCAGGGTTTGTTTTCTTTTGAGGCCTCTCTCCTTGGCTTACAGACAGTTGCCTTCACTCTATGTCTTCACATGATTTTTCTCTGGTGCATGTGTATCCCAGATGTCTCTTTGCATGTCCAAATTTCTTTTTCTTATAAGGACTCCAGTCAGATTGATTAGGAGCCACCCTAATGGACTCATTTTAATTTAATCATCAGTTTAATACAGCCCTATCTCCAAAAAGTTATATTCTGAGATATCGGGGGTCAGGGTTTCAACATATGAATTAGGGGGTGGGATACACAATTCAGACATAACATACACTTTATCCCATTTAAATATCATGGTGTTGTTGACCTGTTATATAAGTTGGTAAGCTTCTTATTTTGCTTCCAGGCCCTGGAAGAATTTATATAACATATAAATCACCTATTAATTGAAAAATTGGCATAATGTATTCCTTTTTTAAATTAAATTTATTGGGGTGACATTGATTAATACAATTATATAGGTTTCAAGTGTATAATCCAATAATACATCATCTGTATATTGCATTGTGCATTCACCACACAAAATCAAATAAATACCTTTCCATCACCATATATTTGACCCTTTTTCCCTCTGGTTAACTACTAGACTGTTGTCTGTGTCTATGAGTTTTTGTTTGCCTGTCTTGTTTGCTTTCAGTTTGACATCCCACATATGAGTGAAATCATATGGTTCTCAAATTTTTCTGCCTGACTTAGTTCACTAAGCATAAGTATCTCAGGCATATTGTGCTCTTAATAACACCTGGTCTTTGGGGAATTTTGAAGAGGGTAGATCTTTGAATACTTAAAAAATTTTCTTGTGGTTATATTTTATTCCAGATTTTTAATGTGTAAAATATGTTTTACATAGAGCACGAATCATTTATTCAAGGCCAAAAAAGGTAATAAAGGTAATATTCAGAACTGGGATTCGAATTTTAGGGCCATCATAATGTGAAGAATACACTTTTCCTAAAAAGCCATTTTATTTCACATTTTACTCTCTTCCCCACAGGTCTTTTCTTCCTTCATCTCTGTAATAGTTGCATGGACAGTTGTGCTAAAGAATTTTCGTGCAAAGGCTGCTCTATCAAGTCCTATATACTTATTGTATTTACTTCTTCCATTCTCTTCTATTCATGCCAGGCTTACCCAATACTTTTGTGAGGGGTTTTTTGTTTGTTTTGTTTTCACCCATTTTTATACTTTAATGGTTGTCTGTTTGATCTATTAGCATAAACCAGCCTATCCTTTATATTACTGCCCCTGGGTCTCGTCATTCTAGTTCACATCCTTATTTTAAGATGACCTTAAATTATACCAATGCCTGAATTGCAACCGAATTGTGAACAACAATCTTGTTTTCACTCTTTCTCATCCTTTCGTTTCACTGATTTCTGGTGTTAAATATTATTGATTAGAAACAACTTGTCCAAGTTTCTTTCCTTTAAGCAATTTGAGATTTTCTCTGGATGCTCAAGAGTCTTCTTTTATTTTACAGACCAATAAATTTGGTCAAAACTGAGACATATTTTAGTTTTCCAGATCAATTTTCCCTTAAATATGACTGTCCTGATCTCAGCTCATGGTTTTACCTTATATCACCCTGCTTGACCTCTACTTTCTTCATGGCAGTTTCCTCTTTGAAGTTTATTCTTCAAGATAAGCTCCTAGTCTTTCTGAAATTAATATAGGAAAGAGGCATGAGAACCATACAAATATTAAAACCAAGTTCTATTCGGAGCCTGGTACTTGCATCTAGACACGAGATCAACATAATCAGACCACAGGGAACCTACAGGAAGATTCCTACTGAGCCTGCTGAGAACTAACAACTATTTCCCCATGCTTTTAATGCTGCATACCCATACCCTGAAAGGAAAACAGGTATACACAGGTATTCCCCAAACATTCAGGGTCTCATTCTCTGACTTTGAGAGGAGACCACATTTCTTTCTGTGGAGTGGTATGACTTCTCTAATAAAGTTTCCTTTGATCTCTAACTCTGGTTCACGCTTAAATTTTTTCCTGCGCAGAGTCAAGAATCCTCTCTTGACTCTGGGTGTAGGGCTTGAGTACCCACTTGGGGGTCTTTGGCTGTCCTGCAGAATGATCTTTTTCCTATTTGTAGAGTCTTCTCTAATAGGCTTCACCAGCTCCTAAGCACTCCTTTTTACCTCTGCTAAGCAGGCCTAATCCTCTGACCTGCTTCTATCTAATCTCAGCTCTAATAGGAAGCACTCTTGTTTTTTGGAGTTCATGGAGTTTTCTTTTCTTTCATTTCATTGAAACTGGAGTCTGCTGTTTTGATCCCCATTTGTGATTTAGAATTGTTTCCAAGAGGAGAGATAAGATTTATATCTAAGCTGTCGTACAGGTCATACTAATAATTTTTTTTTTTTTCCCTCATTTGGGGGAAAAAAACCACGGAAGACTGGAGAGGAATAAAGTATAACTAAATGCTGGAGAGGGAGAGTGCGATTGTATGAAAACAGGATCCCTAAGGCATCGGAGAGTGTGGAGTCCATAGCCATATGCATGGAACAGAGGCACGATTTTATATAAAAAAAAGTTTGAAACTTATGTGTCAGACAATTGGTTTGCTTTCTGCTTCTCCAACCAATGAAATTGCTGGTACAAGAACATGTGCCCCTAGTATCACCGTTTTAACATAGAAAGGAGGCAAGAGAATTAAAAATGATAATCAAGTCACATTCAGAGGCTGCAGTGTGCTGATCAGCAGCCAGGCCAGAAGACACCTTCAGAACAAAGGAAGATTTCTGCTAGGTTACTAACACACATTCCTCACACCTGTGAAGGAGAAACAAGAGCCAAGAGTCATTCCCTATGGCTAAAATCATGGAGAATCTATTAATTAAAGGCTAAGAACTGTCAGCAGGCCTTTCACTCTACATAGTCTTACCTTCTCATGCTACATACACTTCCTCTTCCTCATTGTTTGTCCATATCAAAGAAAATGGGTTGACAAGTCTTTTAAACAATAACTCACAGGAACGAAAGAATGATTCATAAACTGAATTTCCTGAACACTCAGCCCCATACTCATTGCTTTCCAAATCTCTCTTGGTCCCTCTCACTCTCTGAGAGGAGATCGCAGTCTGTGGAGTGTTACCCCCATTCTAATAAACTTTCCTTCTGACTCTAATTTTGGTGTGTGTGTGCGTGTGCGTGTGCGTGTGTGTGATTCTCTCTGTGCAGGGCTTCGCCGCCCCC